ATCATTGTTATTATATTAAATTTCGAATTAAAATTTTTCATTTAATTTATCTGCTACTTTCGAGTAAATTCTAATTTTAAGAAAAATAATTAGGATAGGGGAGATCCTTCTACTTTGGGACACTTTTCTTTAAACCTTCATAATTTAAGTTCTAATTGATCTTTAGCTATGACTATTGAATATTTCTATTAGTAATTAATAACATCACTATATACAGTGCAACACTTGACCCTATGCTATTTTGTTTATGAGAAAATGTCAAATAATTACTTGCAGATATTTGTCCCAAGGTACAATCCATGATTGTATCTCGGGACACCAATGTTTGTACTTTGGGACACGAACAATCCTAACGTTTTTGTAAATCTTAACTTCCGCCAGATGACTTTATAACAATATTAGCTTTATCAGTTAACAAAAATGTTTATATGCTGGAAATGCAGGTAAGTATAAAGCTTAAGTGTTCTGTAGAAGGCATTTAAATGATTGAAAACCAAAAATAATCTCATTTTTGTATTATGAAAAAGAATAGTCATTACAAATATAGGTCACAAATATTACTACTGTACAGTACTAATTTTTTTAGAATTAATACCGCATTTCTGACAGTAATTTTCGAAAAAGGTGCAATCTTCGTGCACCCAGAATCGACAGGTAACGCATTGAATCCAGTCTTCTGTGCTCAAAGTACAGTAGTAAAATAATTTTCACCGCATCCCACACAATTATTTTACTCTCGAACTTCATCACATGAGTCGTCAGTCTCTAAGATCCTCACAGAAATTTCATCCGCAGAGCTACTAACTTCAACTTTTTTCTTCTTAAAAACTTCCTTTTTAACAAATTTAACATTCTTATTCACTTCATTCTTTTTCTTCGCGGCCAACAGAAACATAACAACAAAAGTAAACATAATAATATTAAATAAATAGTTGTGAAAAGCAACGCCTTGTACCTTGGGACAGTCCCAAGGTACAAAAAATTCACTGTCCCAAGGTACAATTTTCTCTTGTTTATAACAAAGTACAGTTATAATTTTTGAATTACAGAAATCCAATGTTATTTATTAAGATAAGTGGTTAGGAATGTGGTTTTCAACTAACTGTACCTTAATTAAATTACTCGCCTCAAAATATTTCGATTAAAACCAAGATCCAAATGGATTGTAAAAAAAACAAACACCTATAAAAATCACACAATGTGTCACAGCGTTAAAACTAGTCGAAATAGCCGACTTTATGTCATGCATCCTGAATGTTGTAATGAAATAGCTACTAGATATCGCTACTTACTACTTCTCAATATATTATTTTTCAAATGACGAGCTTGTCCCAAGGTACAAGGTGTCCCAAGGTACAAGGATCTCCCCTAATTCAAAATTTTCAGCAAATTCATAAATTTCATAATTTTTTGAAACGCGCGTTGTGTCCCATGCGTGTAAAGGCACTAACAGATTTCCGTATAAAATCATTCGTACTGAAAACTTTGGACCCAATCCAGAAATGTAAAATCTTGAAGAGCCAGTCCTTCACCCATCGCCGCCTGCCTCTTTGTTATATATGACAACCGGCAAGTAAAATGGTAAAAATAAACAACAATTTTAAAGAATTTCAATCGATTTGACTGTCCGAAAACTATAAAGACATTTAACGAAGTAAAATTAATTCAAACAATTAATGACGCGTTAATAAATTACATTTAAAAATAATCTAATGTCCAACGAAGCCTCCTTTGGCTAAAATAACTTTGTAAATGCGGCCTCCCATTGATCGTATGAATCTGAAGAGGACGGGTGCGCTTATTTTCTCCCAGTGATTAATTACGGCTTATTTTACTTCCTCCATAATATTATATCGCTGACCACTCGCATTTACGGCTCTAGCAGAAATTCTCAAAGATTTTTCGTCGGATTAAGATCGGAAGAGAATGCAGACTAATCGTTATAGGCACCCCATTAGCTAAAAACTATTCACAAGTAGAGTTTGCTGCGTGAATGAGTGCATTGTCGTGTAGAAAAAACCCTCGATTCCCGGCAATACGTTATGCAAAGGGCAAGAGATTGCTGGCCAACACGTTTTGATAACTAATTACTTTCGTACGTGTATGAAAAAAGCAACCAGAGTCCTTCCTCGCAACTAAAACCGCCCCACACAATAACTAAACCACACACCTTGTCGTTTAGAACACTCCGTTTACTTATTACGCCAGTAGTGACTTGAACCATCTGGACCTAGAAGGTTGACTATTTTCTCGTTACTGTAGATTAGTAATCTCCAACGTGATCGATTGAAAAATTAAAACTAAAGGTCACAAATATAACGATACATATTATTATGTTTTTGAGTATTGTTTCAATGAATTTAATAGTACATCACATCTAGCCGTCAACGTGAAAAATAATTACGGATCAAGTCGCGCGGAACAAACTGAAATTGCCGACTCCGTGTTCCGGTTCTTACTTACATAGTAAGTGTTAAGCATCTGAAGCATTCGTAAGTTTGTGTCTGATTCGCAGTACGCTGACGTTATTAGCACCTCTACAGCCGTTTTTCGTTTAATTTTAGTATTTCACACACATACAATAGATGTAAAAAATTAAAATTAAAATAAATATATTAAAATAGTAAGATTTGTTTTCGCTTGTAACAGAAACTTTTCGGTGGGGTGGATGTGAGGTCTCGAAAGTTGTAGGGAGTCGACGAACAAAAAAGTTTGGCGATCACTGCTCTATACGATTTGTTTCCACGTATTCGACTAGCTTATTTTTTCCTTGACCCGTAGTAAACGTTTATTATTGTGAGTGGGCTTCAGCGATGGAGCAGGTTTTCTTGACTTACATGTAAGATGCACGCGTCTTTCAATAGTTGGTTTGACAACATTACACTCGGGCATTGCTGCTAATCTTCGAAATAATGTTTCGTTGCTAGCAATCTGTCGAACAAATGCTCGTTTTGCCCTGTTTGTAAGCTTTGTCGACTTCTTTTGACTATATGGAACTCGAAGTTGTCGATTACAGTGGACGATCGGCTTAATTTTTCAACTCTAACGGCAAGAATTTCACTCTTTTTCCGAGTTTGTTAGATATTTCTCTCTGTCTGTTGTTTAAAGTAATGATTTTAACCAACTACAGTCATTTACAGTAGTTTCTGCCGAGTTAATCTTGATCTCTGGTATCTTAAATTAATATATCACTCTGCTTCGACAGCCGAATCGACGTGGCAGCCTACCACTGTGGGATTCGGATCAAATCTGGACGGGTCGATAAACGCCCGAGGAATTTTTCGGGTGGTGGTCCGTTCGAATACACCGGGTAACGTCCGTCTCCACCCGGCCACCCGTTGTGGGCCTGGCCGAACGCATAATGGGCTTGCTTAAAGAAGCCTTCTTAGTGCCCGCGGGGCAGACAGTTAAATAATACAGTCGACCCACCTATAACGTGCGTTCCTATAACGACAATTCCTATAACGTAGCGAAAAAATTGTAGAAACTTTCGTATAAAGTACCTCCTATAACGTCGTTTCGCGACAAGATTGATAGAGTCTGGACCAATAGTGGATGAGCAGCCGAACTACTTTCCTCCGACCCTGCGCCACGCTACGGAGCGGCTAAATTGAGTTTGCTATCGTCTGTTTAGTATTATATATAAATTATATATAAATTAGGTACTGTACATATAATTATATATTAATTATATATAAATTAGGTACTGTATATATAATTATATATTAACTTAATTTATTGTAACTTTATTATAATTATATATATGCTTTCTGCCGCCTGGCAACACGCTACGGAGATTTTAGGCTAGTAAGTTGAGTTTATTATCGTCTGTACAGTATGTAAATTAGGTACCGTAAGTCTAATACAGCACTAATTTTATACATTTCTTGTGAAAGAAACACTTCTTATTCAACGGCCATAAAAATTATTTATATTAATGATGTCTCCAAAGGTCAAGTTATTTTTTTGCGAAAAATTATTTATTAGAAGTCGCGGTCGCCGTTTCATGTGCTGTTCCGCGATGAAAACCAGCTTTAAGCAACGGCGTAGTCGAACGGTACACACTCGGTAAGTAATCCTATAATTTTTTGTTTATAGCATAGTTTATACGGATTACTCCCAAAAAATTATACGTGTTTTGGAAATGTTGAGTGGAATTAGTCTAGAATCGGTTAATTTTATAGAAGAAAACCTTTCGAACAGCCTTAGTCCGTAAAGGTCCCACCTATCGGGCTGCGATTGGCTCATGTATTTAATCGTTCCTACAACGTAAAATTCGATTAGCGTGGAACGTATCTAAGCGTTATAAGGGGGTCTACAGTATATCCAATCTGCCTTTATATTTTTGGCACAGTCAACTTTTAAAGCTAATTTTTAAAATTGATATTTAAGTTTTTTTAATAAATTAATATAATTTTTTAAACGTATATTTTTAAAAGTTTAAAAAACTAAAAATAAGTAGGATACGAAAATTGTTCAATGTAAATGATTTTACACGAGATCTACTACCGTAGCGCTTTTATATTCGTGGGACGTACAGTACAGTACCTTATTAACAATGTTAATACGATACGAAGAATTGAAATTTACTATAACAGACCTTCGTCAATCCGGTATCTACGAAAACTGATTGGTGCCGGATCGTTAATGCCCAATTTCTGGACGTTTTTGTATTTAAGCGAAATTCGATTAGATATTTGAACGTTGCGGACATTACCGTACATTTTAGACCATACTAGAAGCAATATTTGACTGGGCACAAAGGAAGTAATGTAAAGAAATAAATTATTTTACTCGATCGCATCGTTCTAGATTCCTCCATTCATATCCTAACGCGTAGCGTGGTGAACTACCGCATTCTCGTCTTCACCTCGAGCACCATCCGGAATCATTAGGAGCCCACCGATCTAAATGAATTCCCATTGGAAGACCGCGTGCATACCGGATTAACGAAACTCATCTATCGATATCTATTTGAAGGTATATTTAGTGAATTTCACCTGACTGTCCATTTCGGTACCAAAGTCGATCATCATGTAGAAATTGACAAATATTAAGAGGGCACTGGAAACTGCCAGACCGAGTTCTGCACCGGTAATAGCTGCAATAGAAATATAATTATAGGTTACACGCTTTGATATACAATTCAATGTAATTCAATAAGTATATATATTTATTTTAATAATACATTCGATAGAATGATTGAAAATTACGAGGAACTAGCAAATGGTGAGAAAACAATTTATTTATTAAAGGCACGAATTAAAAACTTATTTAAATATTGAATAATAAATGTTTCTTGAAAAAGTTGATTTCGCCCAAACCGAGCGGAACAATCGAAAACTAAAATTTAGTTACCGTAAAAAAGAACTTTACACAAAACTTTAAGCGAGAGAGTTATTTGCTTTCCGAGTCTCCGATCAAGGTAATACAGCATATAACGACACCGGCTACGATAGGGTGTTCATTCTAACAATTGGATGGGAGTTGGAAATAAAATGATCCGCGGAACACGAGAAGAACTTAATACGGCGTAATGGAATTGAGAAAGAGCGAAGATCAGACCGTTAGAAGACCGGATTGTCTATCTTCTGCCATTAACTATCGTCGGAGTAACGAGAAGGGTCGTTTTAAACGCATCTCGTCGTTAGTATAGTACAAGAAATCTCAATGGACCGTAAAACCGTTTGCCATCGAGGAATTTAGAAAAAGTGAACCCCGTCCATTACGTTGCAGTATATCGATAGATTGCTAGAAATAAATTCGATATTAAGAATGATAACCGTTCATTGAAAATAAAATGACCGATTTAAGTACTAATTTTAATATTAAAATAACTTTTATAAGACAAAATAACATAAAGAACCAAATATCGTACAATATTTTTAAATTGTAAACATTTCGATGAAATTTGTATGTGCAAAAATATAAAGTTTGTTCGCTAGTGTTGCCTGGCTCGTAATGTCGATACGTGTGGTACAGTAATACTTACCGGAAGATACAAAAAATAGTATAAACATGGTGGCAACGAGATACAAGATGCAAAGCGCGTGTTCGTTTATGGCCATCCAACGAGACAATCCTATAAAGAGAAAGCGGACGGCTGTGTGTCTGTCTTGATATCGATCGAAGGCAAATTCGAATTTTTTTTCCACTTTACACGTTCTAATTGTCGATATTCCGTAAAGCGAAGTACTGAGATGAGCAAAAACTGGGCTTCTTCCTGTAAAATATTACTGACTTATTACGTTACCTTAATGCCGTATTTAACACGATCACGTTCTATTTCAACGGATAAAATATATTCTACAATTACTTAAGCTATAATTGTAAACGTTGTAAATTTGAGCTGTTTAGTCATTTTTAATTAACACGTCGAATGTCATTAGAGGTAAATTGCACCGTCAACAACTACTATCGTCACAGAAGGGTCAACAGCCACACTATGGTATATGGAGTTCCGATGCAGAACGGATCGGCAATTTCCGTAGATGGAATGATCCGGACGTCTTCGATCACACCATCACGGCCAATTAATTACATCGTTGTCTCGCAAAACAAACCGGAAGGGAGATTTTTAATCACTCCCCGTGAAATAGAAAAATGAGAAAACTAAATAATTAATTGTTCTCATCGAGGATTAAAAACTTATCTTACAGGAGTATTCCGGCAATTGGTGAAAATGGACTTCATTAACTAAGTGGATACGCGCATTAATTTAATGATACGCACGCAATAGTCAACCCGAATATTATTCCGTGGGAAAAACAGGTAGGACACCGAAAGTAAGAATTAGAGAACACGTGCGTGCAGTCGAGTACAATTATTTAAACTCAACAATGGCCAAACGTTGCGATCGCGCGGATTTCGAAATCTCAGTTTATAACGTTAAAATCCTTAAGAAGGAAACGTTACTAATCAAAAGGACATTTTATAAACACTCGAAGATTACGAGGGTTTAGACGAATAACAGAATGAACTTAATACGGGAGTCGAGTGAGTAAGATTTGGCAGCCGTTTCTTCACTAACGGGGCCGTCCATTTTAAGATAGCATTTCCCCTAGCTGGACGAAAGTACGCCGTACGCATCTCTATTGTATTAATGCACGACAGTGCAGAGAAGCGTAATAAGTTTTCGCCGAGGATTTGGATTTTAACGTCCATTTTTGCCAGAATTCTTTTACAAATTACTGGAACTCCGTTTGAGCTTTACAAATTTAAGTTGGTTTATCTATAGTAAAATAAACTAAATAGTTTAATAGGCAATTTTATTCCTATTCTTATTAATTAAGATGTCGGATAAAATATTTACGCTAATTTAGTTTTTATCTTTTAAATTTTGAATCATTATTATTATGTCAGAGAGTAGAGGATTTCATTTACTTTAATACAGGGGTGTCCAACCTTTTTGTTTCTCTGGGCCGCATTGGAAGAAGTCAAGGAGTTTTGGGCCACAAGTATATATAATATATACTTGTGGCCCAATATACAAGTATACTTAAAAATTAACATGTCTAGATTATAATAATAAGTATTAAAACTTTATCAAGAAAAAAGGATATTTTAAAAAATTACTTCTACAGACACTTTCAATTTTTACTTAGAAATAGATAAATTCCTTTATTATAAAAGAGACTAAAGAAAATTTATTTGAAAAACACAAATATTTGTTTTATTTGGTTTCTAATTAATAAAAAGCGATGAAACACCATTTAAAGTGCATTTTTATTCAATTAATATAATTATAAATAATATGTAGCCGAAAAAGTAGCCAAAGAGCCAAGTGATATTTTTTACGTCAAGCAAATAAAAAGTAGCCACATTTGGCCCAATGTAGCCAAATCTTGCAACATTGGACGAAATACTAAATAAAGTTGGAGTTGTGATCAAAGGATTATAGACCTAAGTGCGGGGAAAAAGAAGCAAAGGACAAAAGATAAAGAAGTGAAAAAAATTGAAAAATTACGGGTCCATGTTTGCTTAACAGAAGATCTATTTAACGTTTCTCACTACTACATCTTTTGTCCTTTCTCATCTTTCCCCCTTTTCCCAAATATGGGTCTATAATCCTTTGAGTCACAACTCCAGCTTTATTTAGTAATCCTTCCTCATTCACACATTTCCAAGTATTATGTATTATGAAAATATTTTCTTTCCACTCAAAAATAAAATATGAATAAAGGTTTACGGCTTTGTGAAACTTTTTTTGAGTTTATGCCGTTGAAATAAATAAATAATAAATTAAAACATTTGTCGGTTTTGTTTACACGTTTATTGGGCCGCATTGGAACTTGCCTTGGGCCGCGGGTTGGACACTCCTGCTTTAATATAAATTGTCCGGTTGCCGAAAGCAACCTACTCATTTCGTAAAGGGATTGTCGGTTTTGGATTTATACTTCTACATTTAGGTAAGACATAAAAAATGTTCAATTTTAAAGCATAATTTCATAGCATCGCATCTGATATGACCAGGGCTGTGGAGTCTCATAAAAATCTACCCACTCCGACTCCCACCAAGGGAGGAATTCTTACCGAAAAAGACCCGGAAATTCTGATGTCATCGGGTGACCTCAGAATAAAAGATTCAATAAATAGAGTTCTAATAAAGATAGAACGTAGAAACTTTTCATTTTAAAGCTAAAAGACTCTTCTGAGTAATATATAAATAAGTATTCGTAATTTTTACTTTTCCGGCTGTTATATAGAGGGAAAGTGTAGCGCTGGGTCAAAAAATGACCCTTTCCAAATTTTTACATTTTTGGACTCGGGACACCTCGAAATTTCGAGATACGTAAAAGATTCGAGTTTTTTTTTTCTATATGTGTGGATGTTAGACTGTGTGGGGGGGACATGATTTAGTTCACCCTGTTTGAAGCCTAATAATTTCTGTGGTCGGAGTGGTCGGAATCGGAGTCGAATGGTTTAACAGAGGAGTTAGATATTAAGCGTCGAAGTGGTCGAACTAAATCGTGTCCCCATACACGTTCTAACATCTTAGGCGAGAACGTTTTAACGGGTTTTACTGTACTATTATAAAATGACAAAAGAACTTACTTCGAGGGTAGAGATGAGTTTTATTTTATTTTATTTTTTTAAATTTTGAACGCTAATAACGAGTAAAATATTCATTAAGACATATGACACGCGACCACTTTTATGTCTTCACCTCGTCGACCTTTAATTAAGAACCAAAATTTAATAGTATTAATTCCCCTTTATACGCCAGCTACGGTGTCACATTTCGTTTCTTAAACTTTAGCCGTTCCGAGATATCGTTTAATATCTCAGAACGGAAAATAAAAAAAATTAAACAAATTAGATGCCAACACACAGGCGGGCGCGAATTCTTCCTTTTTTTTGACTTTTTGAGGGGTTCGGGAGGTCTCCAAACGTGTAGATTTTCAACAAAAACTTGGAGGGTCAAATCTGACACGATTCCAATACTTTTCCGCTTTATATACATAAAAAGTTTGTAAGTAAAAAGGAGTCGGAGTCGGCGGATTTTTTGACGACTCCGACTCCACAGCCCTGGATATGACAAAACATTGAATACGACCGTAAGACCCAGTCCACGTTCCTTCATTAAATTAACCATAGGGAATATTCTTCAATCGGGTCAATGTTAGACCTAAAACACTGTAAATAATACACGTAAGGTTTAGACAAATTTATATTTCGTTTCGCAAACAAAATAATCATATCTATCTATACTAATACTATAAAGTTCGTAAGTTTGGAAGTAGGAAATAATCGTCGAAACTACTCGTCGGATTTCATAGATTCTTCCGCCAATATTTAGAATGGACCTTCGGGATTGACGTAGGCCGTATATTATTCCGCCAAACATTCGTATAAATTAAAAGATATCGTCTAGGATTAAGCTCTTTTATGTCCGACAGATGGCGTTAACTCCGCGAGTACCACCACCTAAGTTCGCTTTTCTGCCAGGAGGAACAATAAAGAATAAAGCGCATCATCTATCAATATATAAATAAAAATGTAACGTTCCTTTGTTCCTACCGGTTCCTTTGAAATTTTCACGCAACGCCGCATTCGAATACGCGCGTGTTTTTATATAATATACGTGTCGAAATTCCCTCCACTGGGGGAAGATGGACGGGATTAAGGCTTACCGTGAAGATTCCCGCTTCTATTTATACTATTTTAGATGCAGTTTTTTGCGTTTTTGATCGCGTTTTAATAGGGTACGTCGAGAGAATGTAAGAAGGGAGTTTTCGAAAAATTCCCACCCCCCACGGGTGAAGTGTTATACATTTATAATAGATACATTTTGAGCCACAACAAGGCGTGGCTGGGTCTGCTAGTATATTTATATTTACGCATTACCTTAAGTGGCAATATTAAGTTATTAAGATTTAATTGAAGGACTGCTAATAAGCAATTATTATGAATTTGAAATGATAAGTATTTCGAGTATAAATTCTTTTAACTATTAAATGAACCGTAATGTCTCATCATCGTTTATTTTGTTTTGGCAATAAAACGAAAAACATTGTTTTACTTACTCGATCCGTCCATGCGCATGACATTTCTTGCTGTTCGTAAGTAGAAATTCCACAGAAAGAAAGTAGCGATTAATAATATAATAGATGGAAAAAGTAAATAAGGATGTATAATAGCTTCTATGACGAGTGATCCGATGATATTGACTAATTTCTATAATAAAATAGAAAAACTAAATATAAGTAAAACATTGTTAACAACTGTAAAGATAATCTTATGATATTGCGACAAACCTTACAGCTCTGAGAAACAACGTTTTCAATCCGATCAACAGGTCGGCGTCAGGTTTTAAATTGTTTTTGTGTGATGTATTCGTTTTATAAACGAATGATAGAAGAATACAACATTTTTTTGAATGAATAAATTTCGACGAGAAGGGTTTAAAGCTTAGATTACAACAACTTAGTACAACAGGAGAGCATCGTTTAAACATCGGCATTATATTCAATAATGGTTTCTTAAGCACGAAGCTATACATCGAGCCCACTCACGACCCACTATTCATTCCTCCCTCCTCCAATGATCCGCGCATTTATAAACATTCGGCATTTAGAGCTGTAATTAGAAAGGCATTCCATTATTGACCCGACGTTTACCCAGGTTGCGGGAGTTGAATAGGATTAGAACGTTGCTAGGGAGTTGGGATTTGGAGCTAAAGTCATCGAAAGATTAATAAGTTATTACTCAGATTCTAGCAAATAGACGGCGAAGAAAATTATGAACAACGATCTTACTAAGTTCGCTTACAACACAGGCGTGCCCACTATTATGAAAAAAATTTCGAATTACAGGAACACAAAAATACTGTACAAAAGGGCTCCCACAGTTTATAACTTGTTTAGGAATGACAAAGATAAGATCCAGAAAAAAACAAATCTGGGGTACACGGGAGACTTTTTAACAATGGTCAATTACGTCCGAACAAGGAGTACGTACTGTACGTAGGTGTCGCAACAGAAACCTCGGCGAAAGACTTAAGGAACATATTTGCGATGTAAACAAAGCGCACTATTCGGAGTAGCGCAATCGAATGGTTCAGTAGTCGAATGGAATGAAGCTAAGATTGTTAAACTGGTGCGCTGACCGACTCTGTCACCGAGTTCAGAAAGATTTGAAATATATAAATCTAGCCTTATTGGCAGATGTTTAAATTACAAGGATGCCACAGGGTTACCGTCGGTCTGGGAATATGTGATCAAGAATAGCTTATTAAAATCTAATCCATAACGCGCTGTCAATATAATTCTATATACTGTGTTAATATATTTGAATTTATTTCATTTTATTCTATTTATTTCAGTTCATTCAGTTTCATGAATTTGCATTGTTGGTTATAATCTAAATATATAAAATTACTTGTCCCGACTGACTGACTGATTCATCATCGCCCAGAGCAAACCGCCGAACCTAACGAGGTGAAATTTGGTACACGGTTAGGGTACGTCACGAGAACGCGCAGTAAGAAGGAATTTTTCGAAATTTCCCCGCGGGAGGGGGAGGGAGAGCATTAAGGCTTAACCGGAAGAACGGCTTCTACCGTCCTATTTTACACGCAATTTTCTTTTACAACAACGTTTAGTCTTTATTAAGTACTTAGGTATATTAAATTGATAACATTTCGGACATTGTTATAAATATTTTTATCTATTTCGATTTTTTAACCAAATGTTCGAACCGTTTTAAATTCGAATTTGTTATTGCATATCGGTTGGTTTATAGAAGGATTCTAAACGCTCCAGAAAATTGATCAAATTAAAAATAGTTCGTTCGATTCTCGGCAATTCTCATTATTCTCGGCGGTAGGTGTTATATAACAATTACTACGGTGGTTGAAATACTGAATATAAATGGGGTTTGCTGGCTAAACCACCGCGGGCCAAGTCGCGGGTAACAGCTAGTATTGTATATTTTGGTATTTGGACGAAATATTCGAACATCTTTGAATTTGAACGTATTAGTTCGAATATAGAACGGTTGTAAAAGTTGAAAAGAATTTAAAACCTGACGAGAACCCGTTTTTTGGGTTGTTTCAAGTAATAAAGTTGTTTCTCAACGGTATAAGGCGTGTTTGACATAATATTTAAGTAGTACGGTCTGAGTGTAAACATAATTATTATTTAATGCTATACTGTAATACTAATTGAGAAAAAAAAACCAGGAGGAAAAACAATTATACAACATCTGATTATGCAAATTGTGATCGGATATTACGAAAGTAATATCGTAAATAATATGTATCCGTAATATCTCGCTGAATTTCAAAGTTACGTAGTCAGAAGACAGTTCCTTAAAGTAGAATTAATACAAACAATTATTTCAAAGAATAACTAAAATAACGTTTTCCATTACGAGAGGAAATATTTCTGAATAAAAGTTTCCACAGACAAGTTAACCACGTCGGAGCGGAGTCGATATCCTCGTTCGAAGTACAGTATACGAAACGTATACGGACGATACTTTACAAATGTAATTAGGTTATCCGTGTTTAAAATGGCTGCCAAGGAACCACTGGCATCGACCACGCGTGCGGCTCTGCGCGTCATCCTTCCAAAATATAATTTTCACCGATTCGAAACATTCCATAATTTATTCATTTTTGCTTAAATTACTTTTTGCGCGCAGCCGTGGCCTTAATGTCCAGACAAATAATTCCTGGTTACACCCTGGTTACGTCAGCTCTTTTGCCAGACGAAATCACTGGTGATATAACGAATTCGTCAACATTCTAGAAATCGTTTTTCAAAGACGATAAGTCATTATTTATTTTAATAAAACTCGAGCGCGATTTTTGAATTTGCCAGAAAAAATTTTCGAGTCCGTAACGTGTTTCACCGAGTATACATAAACACTTATCCACGCTAAGCTATTTATTGGATTTCACGTGTTTGAACTTTCCTAATATTTTTTCTAACAAAGGCGAACGCGTAGCGTGAAGAAAAATCAGAGAAAATTCCCATCAATTCGGTACGTTTAAAGTAAATATACGGATAAAAAGATTTATTTTTCTTTTATCATCTTATACACTTTATTTGAAAGTGTGTCGTTTCAATATCGATTTCTCCCAACAAACCTAGAATAATTAGGCACTTTCTAAATTGGCCGACAGACACGAAGAGCCATTCCTCAGGCGCGTCAACTCCTCCGACGACTTTTTGACTTTCCGGCATCCGCATAAACGTAGCCTAATTGTATTTTAAGGCGGATCAAAAGTACATGACTTTTTAACCAACTGTCGGAGGTATTCGATGGAAAGAAAATGGGAAAAATTAGATTGGAGATAGAAGAAAAACTCACGTGTATAGTGGAAAAACTGGTCATCGGTAACTGTTGGTCGATGGATCCCACGTCTCTGGAGAAACGATTCAAGACTTCACCTAAATAATATAAAATATTTTACGTGAAAAAAAACCATTTTATATTTATTTTAAATAATATTAAATCAGTACATTTACTCGCCTATAGAATTGTTATCCAGAAACGATACGGGAGTACGCACGACGCAACGAAGCATTCTACGGTGTAGGTTGTTAGAGGATTTCGTACACAACTCCACGTACAGAGCGGCGGAGATCAACGAAAACGTTATTAGTCCGAATATCAGTCCTAAATACACGTATAAACCGATTAAGGTATTCGAGTATCGGTGGTCGATATCGTCGACGCCGCGGTTTACGTCCGAGTAATTGGAAAAGGTGTAGTTTTTCACAAAACACCTTCCGTTAGTCCTGTAAAAAAGTACGGCTTGAAAATATTTAGTTTTATATAATAAGAACGTATGCGAGTATAATACCTTGGTTTGTCTTTCTACCAAAATAGGCCCGTGTAATAATTCGGTCCGTTATGTTTGTAAACTCGTTCGGTAACTCGTACACGAGGGGTGGGTGCTTAGTACTAGTGATGTGCCGGATATCCGTATCCGTATCCGTATCCGCGGATATCCGAGGCCGTTACTTTTTAGCGGATCTTTAACGGATCTTTTATCTTAATGAATTTCATTACTTATATGAAATTTTAAAGATAGGTAGCAATAGCACATTCGTCGTTTACTATCGTAAAATATTTCCATATTACACTACTAAACTTTTTTGTCGACATTGTTTTTATTTTAATTTAACTCAACACTCTCCAAAAACACAAACGTAATCTACGCTATCTCGTGTCTCACTAGCCACAAACTAGTGTTTCCCAACGTGGGGTCCACGCCTCACAAGGGGCAATTGGATTGCTAAGGAGGGCAGTTCGAAAATGGACTTGTCCAGAGTTTAAGTTAACCGTATATCCGCTGTATATGTTAGGGAGACATAAGAATTTTAGAAAGGCTTAGGTGGGGAATAGCACAAAAAAGGTTGGGAAACACTGCACTAAACTATTGGGGCGGTACGCTATATTTTTGTATATATTAATTTTAGTTTAGTTTCGTTTCTTCTTTCTACCATTTGTTCTATTGTTCTATTTTCTTCTAGAACTTTCTTATCTATTCCCTGTCCCTTGGGTGGGATGAGCAGTTCCTAGAAATTTTAGGAGCAAAGGTGTAAGCAGGAGCCGGAGAAAAAAAAGAAGTGACGTAGCAGGTCATTCGTAAACCGGACGGCAGAGTGTACGGACGAGGTGAGAATACTGGGAGTCGTATTTTCAATGACCGGATAGTTCAGAAATAAGTTCAGAAAAAAGATCATGTTTTAAGGTTGTATTGACGAATGTGGAAGAAAAAAATCCTAATTATTGTAGAAGAGAAGTGGCCAGTTATAGGAGAAGGACGTGTGTTATCCCACCTAATAGTACGCATAAAGAAACAAGCCGAAAAAAGGGACAAAACCCCAGATATCCCTATTTCTATCTTATCTACCATTTTTTCTGTCATCTTAATTCTATCCCTTTTTCTGTTATTAGTGTTAAGTTAGTGTTTAAGGTTAGTTTTAAGGTTCCGGGTTATATTGTCGCGATCGGGATCTGTATTGTACACGTGCTTTGGATACAGCGAACTATTATTATCGCTGTAATTTCGCATGCTACTGTTTGCACCGTGAAGTTGGAATCCCCCGAAATAGAATCTGTATAAAGACGCGAAATAGCTTAATTGGAAAATTATATCAACTTTTGTTACTTTATCCTGTCTGCCTTTGTGGTGAATTCTAATTTAGCACACTTTCACACTATAAACAAAAACACGCGCAGTGCAAGTCAAAACACGTCGCGTTACTAACGCAAAGCGTCAACTATCGGTCCAAGGTCACACGCACCGCCGCCGACTGAGTACGAAAGTAGAGATCCGTATCCGTATCCGTGTCCGCGGATCTAGACACTAATGATCCGTATCAGTATCCGTATCCGCGGATATACATTTTTAACGATCCGGCACATCACTACTTAGTACGCTATTAAATTTTGGCGGTTAACGGCCCATGTAACCACCCGGATAAGCCGGGTGTCGTGTGGCCTCACACGCCGACGCGTAAGCTTAGTTCACGCCGAGCGCGATTCGCTGGCCAAAGCGAAAATCGGAACGAATAACACGCCAGACACGACGTCGTTTCCGGCGAATTTTACCATTTCGCCAATCGCTGCCAAGTTCGGAACAGTCCAGCTTTTTCGCTAGCGAAAAAATTTCGCCGCCGATCCTATGACCGCTAGTTGTCACACAGTTCTCGTTGTTTTCGAGATGACGTTTTCTCTCGCTCGCAAATGATTGGCTGCTTAAAATTCGCAATGACTTTTCGCTTCTGCTTGTACGGATCAATTTCGCTAAGCCAATAAAAATCGCTTATCGCTTTTTCTCATTCGCTTTCGCTATTCGCTCAGTGTAAACTAAGCCGTACGCGTGTAACGTCAGGGAATCTTTCCCGACACAATCTTAGCCAAAAGACTCGAAACATCGTTTCCAGCCGGGGAGGAGTCGGAAGGAGAGCGGATTGACAAACGTCCCGAATGCAAATTCCTGTACCTTCCGATACTTTCTCCAGTCACGCCGCGTATAGGTAACGGCCGGGAAAGCCCAAGGACCTTACTCTTTGTTAGTAGAAGTAGACGATTAAAAGCCGCGTAGTTAGAAAAAATCCTAGGGCGACGATAAATTGGTTTAAGGTAATTCGCACAAGTAAAATAAATAATAATTTTGTACGCCAGACACTTACCATAAAATCAGCCAATAATCGCCCGCGCTAAACAACATTTGCGAAACCAGAAGAAAGAAGAGGAAAACAACGCCCGATACTCTGTCCTTTCCCCCGGCGACGTATTTTGCGTACAGTTTCGCTCCCGTCCACAGAACGTTCTTCCCGGTTTGGCCGGGACCCGTTTTTTCTCGGTTTCCACATTTCTACAAAAAGTTAAATATTTATCAGTAAAATATATTTTGTCTTCCATTTCACACAAGAACATTTCTAATAGCTCGGACGAAAACAAATGTTTTTATTTGACGTAAACTCCGGCGGACAAAACAATTACCGTACTCGTCCGGCGGAATTGCGCGGTTAAAGGTTTCGTTCTGATTAGAGGGCTTACAAATCGCTTCCCCGAAATGCGGACTACGGGTGGCAAGTCCGCTATCGTCGGAACCGCTACGTTTGGTCGGAAGTGCTTAGTCTGTCGGATGTATACGCGGCCCATCCCCAAAACACGGACCGGTAAACCTAACGGGTACAAAAACTGCGTAAATCGATGGTGTTCAAATGATTTCCGTTTTATCCTAGACGTAGACGAAACACATTGTAGACGCGAATCGTTGACAATTACTAAGTGCATACTTCGTTGCGTGTGTACTGTACTGTACGTATTATATTCGTAAGTATTTCGCTACGGAAAGTGGTGATACGGTTACGTCGAGTAAACTTCTCGCGTGGAAAACAGTAACGGTGACGTAAAGAATTATTTCGTTAAATACGGTTCTGGGTGCCGTTTTTAAAGAATAATATTTAGATTTTTTAACGCCCGTTCGGCGAAAGAAATTTCTTTCTTTATAGATGATAACAGAGAGGTTGCGGCTGTCGTATTATGCCCAAAACGTGAACGGCCGACGGTCGAGCCGACGAGTAGAAGATCGCTTTAATTTAAACTTCTTCATTTTTTGTGTTTGGGGTTAAATTATGACCTGTTTTATTAAAATAATGATTGTTTAAGCATTTACGAATAATATTGTAAAGAAACGGACGATTTTAATCCACAAATTATTTAATTATTCAATTTTTTGGCCAGCGATGCCAAGTGCCTAGAGAATTTACATATATTTGCCTTCGTAATAGCTTATCTTAAGGCAGGTTTGTTCTTTCGCGGCATCTACCATCAACGGCGTAACGCGTTTGTAAATTTTCTAAAAATTAATTTTCCTAATTTACATAAGCCACTACTTCCCTGGACAAAAGTACGAGGTATTCCCATCGTCAGCTACTACGGTAGGAGACACCACGCTAATTAAAAATAATTATTTAGTCTTATTAAACATCCTATAAATACTTTAAAATACTTTAATTTGTTTATTACCTTCGCCGGTAACACTGGATGCTAAATGTATCCGCCATTTTTTCGACAAATGCGCGACGTTCGCCGTGTAGAAGTAACGTTTGAACCTCTCAAATTCCTTTCGCTATTGTTTTAAAGTGCGATAGCGTCGTCGTAATTCCTTCAAACGATAAATCCTCGAAGAAAGCAAATTTCATAAAATCTCTCTGTTTAAGAAGCGAGTATTGATTTTCTAAAGGTTAATATATTTTTATGCTTTTTTCATATCTTACGTTTTTACGTAATACATGTTACTTCGGGTTAATGTAAATCATAAACCGACCGAGGACTGTTAAAAGACAGACGGATGGAACGTATAGAAATTCCGTTAACTTAATTTAATTACAAAGCCAAAAAAGATGAAATTGTTGACAATGCGGGTGGTTAAGCGAAAGAAAGAACTGATAAATCAGACATACGCGAGTAAAGCGCGAATGCTACAGTATTTACAGAACGGATTAACCCCCGCCTAATTGCAGATTCGTAATCGGCCGCATTTCCACCACCGAAAAGAAGACGAAAAATAAATCGTTTCGCTTAAATATTTATTTCCGAAGCCCGGCAATGTATACATTGTTACCTAAGATAATGCCTCTACCTCCTAAAAATATATTGTTAAAATCTGCTACTGGTTTTGCCACATCTCCCAGTTCCTTCTTACGCTTAAGTCGGTAATTAACGTCCCCTCGTCCGGTACGGCGCAAAGGCGGGCGTATCAAAGATTATTAATTAAGACAAGTCGAACAAGGCGATTGAATATTAGTGGACATCCGTTTCATTAAATTTTATGCAGTATGCATTTTATTATATTTATTTCAAAGTTTCTTGTATGTTTCATTTCTACTTATCGTATCTATAATTCATAAAGCGATGAAGGTTTCAACACGGATAGAGTCGTTTCGGACACGCATAGAGGGAAAGGGGTTACAAAAACTTGGACAAACTGGGACAAGAGGGGAAGTAAAAATTTCAAGAAAAATGCGCACGTAATTTATGGACAGCCCAAGTGGTTAGACTGTAGAAAAAGGACTTTGAAAATCACTTTAAAAATCAATGGTTATGCAATGTCATTTACCGATAAATTTTCAATTGATCAAAGCTTATGGTTATTTTAAAATGTTAAGTGTGAATTGTTTATAAATAAAAAGTTCACACTAAATTGTATGTATATTATGTGTTTTCTCAATTTTTTCCAAAAATGGACTTACACCACTTTCAAAATAAACGGTCCATATATANCCAAGTATTTAATATTTTAAATACAGTAGAGCGTCGTTTATTCGAAAATCGGTTATCCGAAACGTCGGTTATCCGAAATAATTTCAGTCGGCAAATTTTAATTTTCGCTAGTACTGTGGCGCTGCAATCTTTGGCTCTATCTTAGGCTACTCCAATATTTTTTTATGTTTGTGTATGTGTTTTAGCTGGCAGCACTGGCACTTTTGGGTGGTGTTTTTCTGAGGACTCTGTGCCATGCTGAATCGAACGTTTTTGATACTAGATTAACTTCTAAAGTATAAATTTTTTGTTTTTATATTTTTCAATATATTTATTTTGTTTTTAAAAAATAAAGAAGTAATTTTTAACGATACAATAGCCACGATTATTATTTTAGAAAGTTTTTGTTAGACTTAGCATCGACGAAAACTCAACGCGTAGCGACACGCAACAAAGAAAAATTTCAACACGGGATAGGTTAATGTATTTTTTCGCACATAATCGGTTACCCGAAAAATAAGTTATCCGAACAACCCCAGTCTCCAATTGATTCGGATAAACGACGCTCTACTGTATTTACCTTGTAGTCTTAACATAGGTTTTTGGTATTTCCCTTAGTTTTATCAGTATTAAATGTCATTTTGCACTCTTCCCCCGTTTTCAATTTAAGGAAGGATTGATTTTGCTTTGTTTTGCCCACGTGCCCGGATGTCTTTTTATTTTAATGTGCTTTTATTTCATTTTATACATTGTGCATCTGAAACAGGGAGTCATTTTCATTGAGGTATGGTTGATTAAAGCAGAGACAGATTAAGCTATGATTGCTATTGCCTGTGTTTTACTCATCCTTGGGGTAAAAATAGTCTAATATTGTTTTTGCTTCAACCTCGCTAGTCATACATTTATTTATATTTTTATTTTTTAATAAAACAGTTTTCTGGTTGATATGGCTTCGGTGTTTTAGAAATTTATATACTATGCTCCATGGGTTTTGATTCCTAGCATCAGTAGAGAATTCCTTCCGAGAGTGTGCTTTGGATTGTTTGGTTATATTTGTACCAAAAATTAATCAAACACCAAACAATTGCTGAGCATACTATTAATTTAATATTCAAACGCTTTCAGCCTATCAGGATGGCCTATTAAAAATAGGCTGAAAGCGTTTGAATATTAAATTAATAGTAAGCTCAGCAATTGTTTGGTGTTTGATTATATTTGTAAGTAAACAGCTGAGGAGGTAAAGATAATTTTTGTTATTCATTTCTTAACTGCGTGTGATTGTCTTACCCCCGTATTCACCAACACGAGTTAGAGTTAGAGTTAGGATTAACTCTCGAGTTACTAATAAATTGGTATTCACCAACTCCGAATCTCGAGTCGAACACAATAACCCTAACTCTAACTCTAACTCTAGAAAATCGGCGAGTAGACGATAACTCTAGGTTTGACGCCTGCGCAAAGCGGTCTATTTCAGAGAAAAATGGCGACATTCGACGAAGACGAAGCCGAGATGCTAGAAAATCTGAAATATTTAGATTATATAGATCGTATGGAACGAAGAAGTCGGCGGATTATTTCTCTAAGAAATGACCTCGAACAATTGGACGATTATGACTTTCTATGTTGATATCGTTTGCCAAAAGAGAGCGTAAGAAACATATTAGAACGAATTGGTTTCCTCCTCCTGTTTTAAATAATTCGGCTTTTTTTGTGCCTGTTCTTTCACGGCTTTCTTTTTTAAATTCTTATAACAGTCCAATAACTGTTTGGTTTTTCTAAAGGTGACACCCGGGATACCATTGAATTCCTTTGTTAGTTCTTCCCATGTGCCTCTCTTCTGTATGGAAGAAATCGCATTTGTCTTCTTGTTTTCAATGATCGATTTATATTTTTCGTCTAATTCAAGTAGAATCTCCTTCTCAAAATTAGAAAAATTACGGCGTGCACTGCTTTCCATTTCACTTTCCGCCATTTTCTACACGTGTTTTTATTCTATTCTATTCGTCTCCTCCCTGGTTCATACACGTGTTTGCTTTCAACCAATCAAAACTCTGCTTACGAAAGAAAACTTGTTTAATCTCGATCGCAGGATTGTTTTAAAATATTAACTCTAGAGTAGCGAAACTCTAGAGTTAAATTTTTATCTGAATACGAAAGAAGAGTAACTCGTAATCTGACTTCGAGTTACATCTAAACTCGAGTTCGTCAACTCTCTGTTTAACTCGTGTTGGTGAATACGGGGGTTAGTGTTTCTGGTGTGTTTGTTGTTTGCAGCGTTGGTATTTTGCCTCGAGTTATTTAATAATAATCTCTGTACAGTTAGTTCACTAGTCCACCAGGGAACTAATTGTTTATGTTTGGAGTATGTAGGGATATTTTTATAACAGCAATGTATGATTTTCTTCGTGTATTCCTCGATTATTTCGTTCACTTCATTATTGTAATCTAAGTTAAAGTTATCCCAATTTGTCTTGTGTAGGCTATATTATATTTTTCGGTTCTTGCTGTGTTGTTTTGATGTTATATTTCTATGAGAAGATTAAATGTAATATATCTATGTCTTTATAGTGTTTCTATTAATAGTGTCGACCAATCTGTAATATG